CTTAGGACTGCACAAGATATTTACTTTTATTGAATAAATTTTCTAAAAATAATATATATTAATATATATATATATATATTATTTTGAGAACTTTTATTCAATAAAAATAAATTGTAATATATATCAATAATTATAAATTCAATATATAAAATTGAAAACTGAATACAATTCTGAGCCATGCTTAAATTCATTATATTCAAAAATTATTTTAAAACTTTTGATAGTGTTCAAATTTGTAAACCAGCTTTGAGTTGGTAACGCTGCTTTATTTGGCTGTCTATTTAACATCTGATAGTTGCATTTTTTGAGTTTAGTCGACATTTTATTATCAAAATCACATTTTTGTGCGTAAAACTTATTGTTTCGTTGGTCAATTTTAACGCGTATGTAATAATATATAATGATTGAATGAGTAAGAGTAATAATGGTTGGTTGTGAGTAATAGTAAACAAGTTTTAGTCGAAACACACTTACATCCACTGTTAATTACTGTTTGTAGCGATTTATGTCATTGGAGTCATTGTTGTGATTATTGTAAAAATTAATATTCCATAATGCACCTTAGCTAAAACTCATATTTAAACAATAATGTCATAAAATGTTCTATTCAATAAAGTCTATTTTATTGATTTTAAAAGTATTTTTTTGTATTGTATTTTGATTTGAAGTTATGTAACTCTAAATTAAAACAATATTTAAAGGTAAAGAATGTTAATCAAGTTTATATTTCACTCTTCACAATTGCAGGTTTTAGAGTAGTATACCTTATCTTTACTCTATGATATGATGGTTTTCTATACTAACTCAAGTCTACATTCTAAGTGGTATTGTTTATCTCATTTTTTCCAGATTTAGTTGTGAGCTTCTCAATAAGTGGCTTTAGCAATTTTCATAAATTCCAAATGCCTGCAGCTTGGCCATAGGCAGGAAGCCCATGTACACTTTATTTAGGGGCGTCTTTAGGAGCACAGTCTATCTATAGATGGGTGCTATAGAAATGTAGTATGAGGTTGGGATGCACAATCTCTAGCCAAGTCGTTTATGGTCTAACATTTTGTATTGTGTAAATGGCTGCAAGGGTTATGTGTGTGTGTGTTTATGGTACAGTTGTGTACAAAATGTGTTCCTACCGAAGTGCTGAAGGTTTTCGTTAGGCTCTTTGGCAGCCTTGTCATAATTTTAGATTCAACTGTGAACCTTAACGAAAACAAAATTTGCATATTTCTGTTAATTTTACATTGAAGTTGGGTTTATAACGAAGAGGAAACACTTGAAATTTGCATATATTTGCTTCACACACTCGTACACACCGAGCGACTTCTACATATGCAAATTTGTGTGTTGCAAAGTTTTCATATAAAATACAAGTGAAAACAGACAGAGAGAAAATAGCTTTAGATTGGGGGCAGCTGGCAAGGGTAACTACAACAAGGACAAGGAGTACAATAAGCAATGGCTATGGCGGCCATTGCCAGGCTCTGCCCGCACACCCACACCCACGCTCACCGAAACACACTCAGGCTCACATACATACTCACACACACACTCACACTCACCCATAGAGGCATACGAAAAGTGCCTACACAAAAGAGAGAGCGGCTTTTTCAAGGAAACGGATTGTGCGTAACAATGTATCTAAATGTGTGTGGGTGTGTGCCTGTGTGTGGCTGTGCGGGTGTGTATTTTTGTGTAAAAGTCAGCAAAAGATATACATACACATACACACACTAAATAAAATTTCAACAAAAGGCTTTAGAGCTCTACGTATATTGGGGAGGCCAGACGGGGAGCTGTTGCTCCAGTCCCAAAAAGGCGCCTAAAAATACTCAAACAAATTTCTATCTATCTCTCATGCAAGCTGGACCGACCCTCATTTCGGGTTGGCCAGATATTTGTTTGTTGCTTCTCTATTCGATTGTTGTTGCTGCTGCTGGCGTTGGCGTTGGTGTTGCTGATGCTAATGTGGCTGCTGCTGCCCACATTTATGTTACCATAATTTGACTTTAAGAAAAAAAACAAGAAAGAAAAATGCATAAAAAATATGCGAAGCTCGCACACACTTACAGTGTAATGAAGGCTTGCTTTTAACACTTGCAGAAATTATAAATTTAGAATAATTTATTATTGGAATTTATATATTTAAATATAATGAATTTTGATTACTTAAAGTTTGTGAACGTTTGTTACAAAAGACAAATAGGAATTGTAGTTGGAAAACTTAACTAAAATATGTTTTCGATAATAAAGTGTAAAAAAAAACTAACTATCGCTCGATTAGTGCAGATGCGCTTACGTCGACAGCTCAGCCATTTTTTTGAATAAAGTTACAACCAATAAAGTGAAAAAACAGCTGTCATAAATTTCTTTTGAATTAACTTAAAGCTAGTTAGCTCAATACTAGCTTTAGTTGAGTTGGTTTATTAGCTTAATTTTTTCAATTATTTTTATTTACAATTATTTTTGTTTTTCTTTTTTTATAGAATTTCTTAATTTATTTTACACATTTGTGTATATTTGAAATCATTTATATATAGATATATATATATAGATATATATATATATATATATATATATATATATATTTGTGTATTAATTTCCATTAGAAATAATTATATATATGCTACAAGTAATAAATATTTTTTAGTTTTACGATTTGATTTATTCAAAATTCACGAAAAATTGCTAAAAATATAAATTTCAAAATTAGCAAAATGAAAACGATTTCTATATTGGATCAGGGCTTGTGGTGGAAAAGATAGAAAACATATATTCAAATAAATCTTATATTATTTATTTTTTTTGGCAAATTTTATTATTTTTTTAATGGCATTATTGAGTATTAGCTTAAAACTAAATTATAGAAATTATACAAAATTATTTTACTTTTCGCCTTTACTTCCATGTTGACCATTTCAGTTGAATCGAAATATCTTATGAAAGAGCATGAGAGCAAGGACACATTATACACACTTGAGCACACACACACACATACACACAAACAGGCACACACACGAACATACCCAGTCATCCACTCATATAGTATGTGGAATTGGGAGCCAACACTTGCTAACCGAATTTCCTGCTGTAGTTTTTCGGCTATGATGGGTTCATTTTTCACATACGTGAAGGCGAGAGGCGACCACTTATGAACCGAAAGTTGGCAATGGCAATGTGAGCGTGCGCCCACACAACACACACACAGGCACACAAGCGATTGTGTGTGTAACGTTCTTTTGCGGATTTTGCAGTCAACTTGGAAGCCAACTGACAAAACTATATGGCTAATGTGTGAGACCAAGTGGGCGTGTTACCATGTGTATGTGTGTGTGTGGGTGTGCATAATGTGTGATTGTGTGGAAATTTTTGGGCAGTTTCATTTCGGTCATATTTATTAGTTGGCACAGACACTGGCACAGATCAAAACAGGACAACAAGATGCCCCAGCAACAACAACAATAAAACAGAAGCAGAAGGAAACATCTTTTTTACCCTCGTCAGGACAAGTTTAAATAATGTGTAGGTATTAGTATGTGTGTGTGTATAGAAACTATTTCGAGGCACATCCTGCTACATGTGTAGTTGAAGTTAACCCACACAAAAAGCCCCATTGAAGTATATACTTAAATACATACATATATGTATTTTTATATACATATATATGTTTTGGGCACATGCTCGTTTAAAAGAGCCTCAAGGATATGCAAGGATAGTGCAAGAAAATGTGCCTGAGTTGGGTTAGGCTATCCTGTTTATGGCCCTTGACAAAGCTGAGTCCTGTTTTTTTGGGGTCCAGCTCTTCAGAATGAGCTCAGCGCGTGTATGTGTATGTGTAGCCCGGCATACATTTCCTGCATAGTTAACTAGCAGCAGGAGAACTATTTACAACTATAAGCCAAGCCTGCCAACGAACTCCCCCTGTCTCGTCGCAAATGTAATCAATTTTTATGCCATTATTGATGCTTCACTTGGCAATTTATTTGACATTTCTATGGGGGATTTGGGGGACTGGCTGCTGTTTTATTTACGTGCAAGTTTTCTGATGTGCAAATTAATTGGAAATTTTTGTTGTTGATTTACGAGCAGACGGCATTTGAATTGGATTCCGGAATGTCCATGTAGAATAAGATTTAGAGAGAGTTGAGACAGAGGCAGAAAGTGTTTAGGGTCTTTCTTTAACTGGGGGCGTTTGTCGTTTGAGGTCTAGGCGTGTCCTGGTGGCGCCTCCATAGAAGCTGCCAAGCACAGAGCCAGATACCAGATCGGCTATCACCTACAGCTTTAGCATTAGCTTTTAAGACATACTGTCTGCTGATCCGTTGGTATGTGTGAGTGTCCTTCTTTTGTCCTTCCACCTTGCAGTGCGTGCTGCTGCTTCTACATTTGGCATTCTGTGGCACACATTCGTACATTGTTTTTGTTTTTCTTTTTTTTTGGTTGTTATATTTATATTTTTATCATTATATGAAAAGAAGTCCTTTTGTTTCAAGTTGTGCGCGTGTGCTATGAAAGTCCTGTTGTGTATGCCTGTGTGCGTGGCACATTTGTTTCCTTTTCATAATTATGTCAAACACAAGGATTCTTTTATGTTCGGTATACGCATTAAAAGAGTTTATCGGGCTTTTGCGCTCCTTTACCAGCTGGCCAGAGCAGACCCATAAAGAGACAAGCCGGTCACAAGCACCATGTGGGCGATAAGCATAAAGTTCGTTGTGCTGCAAGAGTAGTCCTTGAATGACACGAAAGTTGGAGTTGTTAACTTTTCTTGATAAAATTAGACTTTAAATTTTGAAGCAAGAAATAATAATTGTTAACTATTTCACATTAGTTATGTACTAAAACAGAAGTTGGCATAAAATTAACTATAAATAAACTAAGCTAGAAGTATTATGTCTTAAATATTTATTAATTATTAATTTTATTCAATTCATCAATGCTCAGGCATTAGCAATTTTACCTAATATACACAAACATTCTGTTATATACACGTTCCATGTATTTTCATACGGACTAAACGAAGTGCCCGCAGTATTTTCTTATCAGATGCGTGTCGTCTTTATGCCTAAATCCCCCAGGATGCGTTTGCATACATGCATGATACCCCCACACACACTCACAGGCACACACTCATACTCAGAGATACACACGTAAATTCCATTAGCATAAAAATGTCATAAATAAGAAACATGCTTGCCTCTGCTTGATATTCCTTCCGCTCCTAAGCAGGGGTTGCTCACAAATTCAAAATGGCGTCAGTTTCTTATTAGAAACAGGCGGGCTAACGGGCAAGCGAAACAGCTTCATCTTTACATATATTTCGGGGGTGAGTTTTCGCATACCAACAACGAAAACCAGTTTCCTTTGTTTGTGCGTGTGTGTGTGTGTGGGAAGGTACACAACCACGCCTTTTCTTATAGCCACACGGGCTTCGTCTGTGTGTGTGTACTGTACCTCCTATGTTGGCACTTTTGGAGGCGTTCAAGATGATGTGTTCTAATTGATGTCGTCATGGCTCGACAAGATGAGCTGGGCAGCATGCGTGGCATTTTCGAGTATTGATTTTCCTTAACCCTGTCGGGTCAGCGCTGAGTGCGTTCATTAATTAAATTGACTTTGATGAGGGCATTCGCCAGAGTCTGTAGTCGAAAGCCGAAAAACTTTTCGTAAGTCTGCCTTAAGCTGGAAGCTAAAAGCAGTAATGTATTTATAGTTTATACGCCTTAGTCCAGGCAATGTGTTCTAAATGGCATGTCAATAACACAAGAAGCACCAGCATGGCCCCAAGCTCCATTTATCAATCTATTATGCGTGCGGTCAACATCAAAAGTATAACATTAAAAGCATTCAGCTATGAAATGTTTGTACCAATACTTAAGCACTATGCAAATGCGTGTGTGTGAATATTGTTATGCAGACAGAGAGCCCATACAACCCATACCTACACTCTCTACGTATAGTTTTCCACTTAAATGGCGACAACGACGCTTGGGTTGGCTGCTGAGATCTTCCCGGTTCGTTGCTATAAATCATAAGCAAAAGGCACAAAAACGACATGTACATGAAAAGCATTTAGAATCCATGTACAGCACCCACGTCCCCACTTACTGGGCCAAAACTTCTTGGAATGTTGCTGCCATTGCTGCAAATAGTTGGGCAGTGCCTTGTCCTCTTAACTTTTCACTTTCCCGCTTCGTCTCTGGCTGTGCTACGAATTTATAAATGAAAATTCCGACAAGAACATTTTCTATTAAATTTCGACTCCGTTTTCTAACCAACGCCTGCTGTTCCCAGAACGAGAAAGTTTTCTTGCCATTGTCCCCCAACGTCCATACTTGTTCTTGGCTCGGCTCCTATGGGTGCCAGCCAAACAAATACACTTGCTGCTAATACTCTTAGCCGAGTATTTGCGAAATCCCTAACCGTTGTGTACAGCTTAAATATTAAATATGTTTCTTATATGTATTAAAGACTGTAACAGAATATGATTAAGTTAATATCGAATTATTTTGCAGAAATATAAATATAAATATAAATATAAATATAAATATAAATATAAATATAAATATAAATATAAATATAAATATAAATATAAATATAAATATAAATATAAATATAAATATAAATATAAATATAAATATAAATATAAATATAAATATAAATATAAATATAAATATAAATATAAATATAAATATAAATATAAATATAAATATAAATATAAATATAAATATAAATATAAATATAATATAAATATAAATATAAATATAAATATAAATATAAATATAAATATAAATATAAATATAAATATAAATATAAATATAAATATAAATATAAATATAAATATAAATATAAATATAAATGCTTTATAAGTACTAAAATTAAAAGTTATTATCTTTTGATCTGTGAACTTGGTAGAGGTCAGTCCATATATAATATATGTACATAGAATTAATTTTTTAATCCTAAAGTTGCAAATCTTAAAATTGTATTGATTGAATTATTATTATTATAATAATATTATTATTATTAAAATATAACTTGACTTATTTTATAAATGCTAAATTTTTTATATTTTCTGTAGGTTTCATTGGAACAGTCAAAATTATTAGCTTAAATTTTTAATTTAAATTTAAGTAAAATTTCAGATATTTTCTATTCGCCTATTATAAGTCTGTATAGCTATTTAACTCGACGATAACTGCTCTTGGATGATAGCATGCAATGCTTATTAAATGATTATTAAATAAATACATTTATTTATCAAACTTTTATTTATAATATTTCAAAGCTACCTTTGCAATCACAATAATTGATAAAATTAATGCCTTATAATTATCGTTTGGTTTCACACAAGTAAATTGAATTTTACAATATCTGGCACAGTTAGAGCATTTGTATTTTCGCAATTATCCTCATTCATTATCTTGTTTTATTTTATTATATACTACTCAACTTATACATATTTCTGTGTATATTTCTTTGTGCAGCTGAAACTTTTTGCTTTGGCAAAAGTTTGCTCGGTTGGCTGGCATTTTTGAGACTGGGGTCCTGTTACTGTCCGGCTGCAAAGTAAAAGTTCTTAGCTTCAGCCTCCTACTGCAATCATGCTGCTTCAGCGCCGGCTAACATCCATGGGCAACAGCCAACTACTTTTTCTCAAGTACCACTGCGGGACATTAAATTCTGTACGTGCTGAGCTCTTGTGCTGGCCTGGCCATTAGATTGTTCGAGGTATTATGCCATGACCGAAAGTTTGAATAGTTCTTGTGCAATGACAAGATATGGGCCAGGCGGCTGTGCAGTGCAGGGGTAAGATGCACTCAAATTGTTGCTGACCAAATTTGGCTCTTTTTGTTGGAAAAGTTTCTGGGGAGCTGCTTCTTTATGTGCCAGGCAAAATTTTGGCAATTTATTTCGTTGCCCAGAGCTTTGGCCATAAGATAAGGGGTTACCCAGGACTGCTTGAGTTGGCTCCCCTTATTTATGGCATGACTTGGAGCCCTGATTAATGCTAGTATTTAGAATTTGATTGTGGCCAACTTTTTGCCTTCGCTTGATAGGCACTTTCCCACACGACGGATGATATTCCACAACTGGACAACATCTTTTCCCACAGCATCCCAGAAGGCATCGGTCTGGGGTTGTGGTCCAACCCGCTTGTCCAGTTGCTCCTAAAAGAGTTAAAAACGTTCCGAAAAAACTGTGAGAAAATCTTCGCAAAAGTGACCTCTGACCGGACGATGCCCAGAGCTGAAGAGATGTTCCGTTTCTGCAAGGGGTTGATTGAACGTAGAAGATGCCAGGTGCAGGAACATCTGAAACATAAACTGAAACCTATTTTTATTGCAGTTTAGATATTCCAATATATTCCTTTCTTTTTAATTTATGTTTACAACATTTAAAATGCTGAGCAATAAGGATACGCTGATTATTCAGTTGTTTCCTGATGTATAATTCTTCTGGCATTCATTAAAGATAATTCTATATTCTGGAAGATACTAACCTTATCCCAATAATATGTATTGATATAAGTATTTATAACTTTTCCTAAGAGGTACATAAAATAAGTGGCAAGTCTGATATATTTGAAAGTGAAACCGAATCGAAAATCTATTTTAAAATAATTTAATTAATTTTTTTATTTTTAATATTTATTTATGTGTCTATTAATTTATATGTTTATATGTTAATTTTTTTTATTTAATTATTTCTGAATTTATTTAGTTGCTTATGTATTTTTCATATTTATTTTTTTTGTTAGTTATTGAAATTTTTGATTATTTAGTTATTTTTATTTTTATTATTATTTGTTATTTATTTTTTATTTTATTTGAATATGTTGACCAAATGAGTGTCAATAAAAAGTTAAAACTTAAACATAAACATTAAATATCCTAAATAAATACAGCAAATAATGTGTTAATAATATATCCAGCCCGATTTGCCATTGGAAATCCAGCAATGTATGCCCCTGCTCTCATCTGTACACTGTCACTGTGTTTGTGATGCTTTTTTAACGTATTCGCATATGGCATATATTTAGTTCTTAAGTCGTAGATCAATTTAATGGTTTCTTTTGCTCTATTATTTTAGTATTCACACAAAATATTTGTTTTCTCATGGCCATATAGCTATGAAGTCACCTATAAATGTTAGTAAAAATCTTGTTTCTAAGATTAAGTTATATATATTATTAATTATTGTGAATGCATGCAAGTTTCCTATTTATAAAATAGAATATGTTGAGTAATTAAGATTGAAAGCAGTTGATGTCAATAAAGTTAGCAAAAAATGATTTTGATACAATTTAAACTCTTTTTTTGCCGCTTTTAATGACAGAAGCCTCACAATGGAACATCATTAATCTTCATAATGTGGAATCCGACGTGTGGGGCAACTCATGAATCAATGCGAATTAGTGGGACAAAAGTTACATTAGCCAGTCCGTTTTTGATGAGAGTTGCTGCTGTTGTTGTTGCACTAAGCAGACAGCATTTCATTAATTAGCGGCATATTCATCAATTTTAATAAAATTTCAAAATTTGAAATGCCTGCTGAAAGGTAAATGGGCTGCAGAAATGTTAGTTCAGCGATATATGCATGTATGACTAACCTAAAGTGGGCGTAGGCTTTAAGGCGGCGTGGGGTGTGGCTGAGTTATGATAACATTCATTTGCCTGTAAATTTCCCAAAAGGCATGTAACAAAACTTTGGGAGCTGCTAAAACTATGGTAAAAGGGGCACACACGCATACGCACATATACACACACATACACACACGCATACACATGTATATACAGCCGCTTGGTCGCACATAAGATGTGTCGGTTGGACCTGAAGCTGGGAATGGGGAGCCATTGGGCTGGGTGTTATTTTTGTACAAAGGATTATTTCGTCTCGACCAAACATGCAATTAATTATAAGCTTAAGGCCTTGGGTCCCTTTACGGCTCGGCCATGTTGTTGTGCCTGGTTGCGTGTAAAGAGCAACATAGAGCCAACAGCAGCAACAACAGCAACAACAACCACTGGAGATACTAAAAGCGGCCAACAAAACTTGAAAGATAATAACCTTAGCTTACAGGCAGACAGCAACTGAAACAGACAAGAGACAAATGCAGTAAGAGAAAGGGCAATGTTAGTGTATATGGACACGGGAAAAAACTACTACTATTATTTATTTGGCAAAGTTTAAGGCAACATCATTATCTTTTCTGCAAACTAAGTTCCATGGTGCGCAACCCCCAAAGCAAAAGGTCTCTAACAACGGTTGTGGCAGTCTTTCGGTCCGCTTTCGATAGTCGGAGCATGTGTCTTCAAGGCAACTCAGAAGCAGCACCACGCTGTAAGTGTGTATCAAGCGCACACACACACCCCCAACCACCCATACCCACCCACTAACATGCACTCACACACCCGCATTAAAGTTTTGCGGCCATATTCCCCGTTCAGTTTCTTCTTAGGGCAATCAACCCCCAACGAACAAAATTGAATCCATTGAGAGGGTGAGCGGGTGTGTGCGTCTCTGTGTGTGTGTGTTTGTAGTTTCACAAAAACTTTTCTACGCCATCAGCTCAAGACATAAAAACTTATCGCCTGCCTAGATTTCGCACCCAACTCCTTAAAATTCAGATTGTTTTAAATCCACCCCCAATTTGATATTCCGAAGCGAAGTTCCGGGGGTTGAGCTGGAGCTTTAGGAGTTTCAGCCAGGCCCGATAGCTGGGACTGTTGCTTGAGTTGTTTCTGGCCAGCCAGCAGAATGAGAGTTGGGCATTGAGGGAGTGGGCACAGGAACAAAATATCGAATATTTTACGTAATCGGACGAATTGAAATATTTTAATGAAACGTTTCTCGATTTCCTAAAGGCTGTCATGAATTTATCAATGATTATAATAGGCTGTTTTATTTAAAATAATTGATTTCTTTTTTGTTTACAAGATGTGTATAGGAGTAGAGTCCATACTCCATCTTAAGGCTTTGGTTTTTCCCTTATGTTTTGTTGTATTGAATGTAAATATAGATGTACCAGCTAAGAGCTGTTTTGTTCTATACAATTTATTTATTTATATTAAATATTTATAGTATAGTCTCAAAGGTTTCAAGTTGAAGAAATTCAAGTGCCGAAATTCAAATGCCAGTGTCTGTTTTTACTCTGTACTTTCAACGCATGTCTTCTATTTCTCATGATTCTTCGTTTGGCTGGCAGCAAAGGACTCTGGTCTTATCCTGCTTCAACGACAAGCCCAACGACAACAATGGCAAAATTTTAATTGAA